GACCTATAGATGACCTATAGATGACCTATAGATGACCTATAGATGACCTATAGAGGTATTTTGAAGTCAAAATACATGTGATTAGACCTAGAGTCTAATCTTCATCGAGAGCGAGCGTGAAGACGAAAGGAGTGATTTGCTTCTACTGAATTTTGGAGACTTTTCATTTGCACTTATTCATTTTCGCTCGTTTTCATCATAATTGTAAAACTTCGTTAATACATCATTGTCGGTACCAAGAACACATGGCTCTATCAAGCTGATTAACATTCCGAATCCTTAAAGTTGTTTATTACTGTTGCGTCGACCAGTGGAATCGGGAGTTTTCAGATTGTTCTTGTTGGACCTGCTCTACTGGTAACTGCGAAAATCATGCCTTGCATACGCTAGACTTGGTTTGCTAGAACAGAATAATTTATGTTCAAGTCAAGCTGACTCGTTGCCTTTCAATTGCATTCATACTTCTACTCGTGCAAACGACCATCATAGAGCTTCCTCCCCGGCTCCGATCGTGACAATGTACGCCGAGCAACGGATGCATGCTACATGAGGGTTTGCCAAAATCAGATTAGTATGGCCGAAGCCTAGATGTAAACTACAACACAACATGTCAGCCGCCTTTTTAAGAGCAAACGAGAAAGAAGTACAATTAGACTTTCTTTTAATTCTTCACACACGATGCAAGCATCATATGCCGGATGTACCACTGGCATATAAAAGGTCCTTTATGTTTTAATAATTTGTGACATAGATTAGGTCACGTTCAGTTGACTATTCTGTGACTCAGCAAGTCAATCAACTAAGTGTGGTCTTCAACATCATAGATTAGGTCATGTTCAGCTGCCTTTCTATGACTCAACAAGTCAATCAACCGAGTGTGGTCTCCAAAATCATAGTTTAGGTCACGTTCAGCTGGTTTTTCTATGACTCAACGAGTCAATCAACTGAGTGTGGTCTTCAACATCATAGATCAGGTCACGTTCAGCTGCCTTTCTATGACTCAGCAAGTCAATCAACTGAGTGTGGTCTCCAACATCAAAGTATAGGTCACGTTCAGCTGCCTTTCTATGACTCAGCAAGTCAATCAACCGAGTGTGGTCTCCAACATCAAAGATTAGGTCACGTTCAGCTGATTTTTCTATGACTCAACGAGTCAATCAACTGAGTGTGGTCTTCAACATCAAAGATTAGGTCACGTTCAGCTGACTTTTATTTAATTCAACGAGTCAATAAACCGAGTGTGGTCTCCAATATCATAGATGATTTTTCTACTGGCGAGGACAGCACTTGAACTGATACAGTGAAGCACAGACCACTCTTTATTTATGACATTGGCGGATTGTACTCTATATATGGTTTAAGACCCATATGTTTATTGACGATCGGCACACGATTAATTGATGTTGTCAATATCAGACATTCAATATGCTGCAAGGACGGTTTGCACCCATGCATTAAAACATTAGCTACAGAGACGGTTTGCATCCATGCCTTAAAACATTAGCTACAGAGACGGTTTGCATTCATGAATTAAAACATTAGCTACAGAGACGGTTTGCATCCATGCACTAAAACATTAGCTACAGACACGGTTTGCACCCATGCCTTAAAACATTAGCTACAGAGACGGCTTGCATCCATGCCTTAAAACATTAGCTACAGAGACGGCTTGCATCCATGCCTTAAAACATTAGCTACAGAGACGGTTTGCACCCATGCCTTAAAACATTAGCTACAGAGACGGTTTGCATTCATGAATTAAAACATTAGCTACAGAGACGGTTTGCATCCATGCCTTAAAACATTAGCTACAGACACGGCTTGCATCCATGCCTTAAAACATTAGCTACAGAGACGGCTTGCATCCATGCCTTAAAACATTAGCTACAGAGACGGTTTGCATCCATGTCTTAAAACATTAGCTACAGAGACGGTTTGCATCCATGCCTTAAAATATTTGTTGCAGGAATCAGCGTTTCTATGGGCACGCCTGCTGTGCTATACTGTCGATTCTGACATAAGTAATTTGTTTACTAGTTACCGCTTATGTCTTCATGTAGAAAGCAGAAATATGGCTGTTGCTCTTCTGGCATTGTCTACCATATCCACTATATATTATTGTGGGATTTCTCTCATGTTACCTATGTTCTGCGTCCTTCCCCTTCACATCCCTTGAATTGTTTACAATTACAAGACAGTCTCTCCTTGTTAACAAACCATAGCCATTTTGTATACAATGCAGTATTCACTAACTAACATATTATGCTCTTTTGATCCCATTTCTGACTTGGTCTCTTCTAGTATATGATCAATTTCTAGAGATTCGAAGATTACAAGAGAACAACCCTCGATCCCTCTGAATACAAATATATTTCTCAGGTGCTGCCATCAGCTAGAACCAAACAATTCAGCTCGACACTTATTAAAAATACAACTTGGACACAATGTGACAGATGGCTGCAGATAAAGATTGTCGCTCCTCTTCGTGAATAGAAACTTCAAGTGCTCCCAGTCGTCTTAAACGGAGAACCCCACCCACATTCTTGAAATAACAGCTACAAACAACCTAATTACAAAATGCGACTATTTGACAACAAAGCAATTTATTTCACCTCCCTCTAATATTATCATGACAAAACAATTTTTTTTTCATAAACTCAACAAACTCGCTAAACATAACATCAGCTACCGAATGATCAACAATTCTATCAAGAATTTCGCCCGCAGCAACGTCGATACCGATGTGAACTTTAAAGACGGTCACTCATCGATTAGCCGTTCACATCAAAGACTCAAGTAGCTCCAATCTGGTATGTGTGTGTAGTTTAATTTTTCCTGTCCTGGCACTAAGGGAATATGCAAAACCTTGTGTCAGGGTGAGTATCCAGTATTGTAGAGGAAGAATGTAAGGAGATCAGTCTGTCTGAGTCTGGGAAGTACTTATCGTTGCCAGGTATGTTGGAATCAGTGAAGTTCCCGCTACTGAAGTTGTCTGCGGTGTTACTGCAAAGAGCTACAGTTATTCAAGTGGGAATCGAAAAGCACCGATTGATCACCGTCTCTTTCATCCTGTGAAAAACTGCCGATTCAAGCATGTCGAATTTTATGAAGTATTTACTGAAACCAGCTAATTGTGCCAAGGTATTGATTCTTTCATGTTTGGTTCTCTGAAAACGTTTGTGTACTTGTCTTGTGGTACCTGGAATGTAGAATTGCCTGTTAGATTGTCGCTGGTACTGTCTAGGCTATGGGAGAGAAATCGGATGTCTAATATCATTAATGGCAAACTAGCAAACTAGGCCAATCAGCAGGAAAACTACTCCCGGCGACAGTTGATGTGTACTCACTGTCTGTGTGCAGCTAGTTTGTCACACATTAAAATAAGAGGTGTCAAAAAGTACTTTGAAGCAATCGACAAAGCCACCAGGCAGTTTGCGTTATGTCAGCATTGGGACTATGAGCTTAAGTTCGGACTGAAATTATGGATCCATGTTTACCCTGGCCTACCTTGGGCTCTATGTTCCTTAACTCTTTTGTAGTTGTCTTGCATCGTATGACCTCATTTGATATTCTCTCTAACTGTGCAAACCAATTTCATCACTGCCTTTCTGTGTCATCAGTAAAGGGCTTATGCAGACTGTTTCTCTTTTGTCTTCACTCTTGATTTTGTCTCATCTCCTATTGCATATTATACCATGAGATTAGAAGAAGGAAATAACCCTTTACTCAACTCTACTAAAAGATTATTTTCACCAGTCAATCCAATTACATTGTAGCTTTTGCAATATATCACCGATGTACAATCTGACAGATGGTAATGGACAAGCATGTTATTCTAACTTGTTATTAGACACTCCCAGTTCTCGCCAGTCATATAAAACTGAGAACCCCGCTTCCACTATGGAAATAACAGCCACAAACAGGAAATTACAAAATGACACATTTCACCACAACGCAGTTGAAGTAATGTCCCTCTAATGAAATCGCCGTCAAGCATCTTTTGAATGACAATAACCATTTGGTAAGCAAGACACAAGTGACCAAATAATTATATTAAGCGGCTGATGACACAAGTCCTATTTTGGCTTTCTGCCACAGTGCTCTTGTCTTGGCAGACCCTTTTTAACACGCAGTTCTTGCAGTGTGGCCAAGGTTGCAGATTCGCAGTCGTCACTTGGTTCTCGTAAACGTCTCACTCCTCGTAGAGCTTTCAGTATATCAGCCCGCTCCAAGGCACGCCCGCATGCAACGATAGCTTTACCTGCAAGCCTATTAGCTGGCTCATTTTCGTGTAGTGTGCCCTGGTACGAAAATGAAACGGGTATGCTTCAGCCCTGACCACCTCCGAGATTTGAACCCAGCCAATCTTCATTTTCCTGAACACAGTCATCGAGTCACAGAGAAAACATGCGTGGGTAAAGGTTTGAGGTCTCCACTCATGTTTTTCCTTTGGTCACTGTCATAACCTCCATAGTTTGAATACTTGTAGTCAAAGCGAAAACATCAGATTCTTGCTTCACAATTCTAACTTCAACCTGAGCCGTAAAGCTCACGAGCTTCTCGCGTGGCGGAATTTTGAAACATTAACTGCCGTAATGCTATTTGCTGAAAGCTGTAATCAACTTACTGTTGCTGGATATATTTTATTTAAATGGCTAAACTAATTCCATCGCAGGTACTATTATAGTGTGTGGGCCAATGGTAATTTTATACACTCAGTTAACGTGTTAGTACTTGAGATAACGAGGCTTTGTCTTTGGCAAACATACTGCCAATGACATGGAAGCGTTGTGTCAGGGATATAAGTAGCTCCAACAGTAGCCGTCAATGTGTAGCCGCTACGAACGACTAACCATTGTTTATCCTTTTTCAAGCGACTTCAAGATCTGACCAAAAGTGCGCACTCAGCATCGAAGATGTATCTACACATCAAGAAAACACATGCATGGGCATTTAGTAAAGGAATTATTATATTAGGTCTATGTCAATAAAGTACTTACCACATACACAGCGTACTGTATGAGAATGCTCTCGAATTCCGTGATAGAGGACAACACACTCAGAGTTAGGCACAGCAGTACGAACATGAATCTGAAATATGGAGGAAAATATATAATCTACACATCAACAATAACAATACACACACCATTATTTTTGTTTATCTTTTTCTCCCCTCTTCTTCTTCTTCTTCTTCTTCTTCTTCTTCTTCTTCTTCTTCTTCTTCTTCTTCTTCTTCTTCTTCTTCTTCTTCTTCTTCTTCTTCTTCTTCTTCTTCTTCTTCTTCTTCTTCTTCTTCTTCTTCTTCTTCTTCTTCTTCTCCTCTTCATCCTCCTCCTCCATCTTTAACATAAAAACCAAGACCACAACCACCACCAACATCATCACCACCAACACCACTAACATCATCATGATTATGTTCATCTCTTCTTCTTTTCCACTTCCTTCTTATTCTTCCAGCAAATAGTCAACTTTTTCCCCAACTAGCACAGCCTACTAATGCTATTTAACTTGTTATTCATTGTGCCTATTTGCCTAAAATAGTTTATGAAACAGCAAGTCTACAACAGCAGTTACAGTATATTAATTATGATGAGGTACTCTGTCTTTTCACTTAATGTCTGCCCAACCATTATATTCAGTAGCCGCTTCTCTTTGTTGTGATATATTTCTCTGCTGCCCTTCCCATCCCCCCTTATCTGGGAAATCACACTAAAGTGCTACTCGATTGATTGATCTCTCAGTCGGAAGTTCTGTTGTCTTAAATATTGCCCTTGGAGCTAATGAAATTCGGCACCTGCCTATTACTGCAAATATAAAAGCGTTTTTTTTTTTTTTTCCCCCTTTAGCTGCCACTTTGGCCTATCTGTTTGCAGTGGTGAGTCAAAATGAAATAAACATATTTATGTTTTAAACGAAACGAAGTAGTCTCGCTCTAAAGAATAATGCGGATGATTGTGATGGCGGAGAAGCAAATATTGGACCAAATTTTAGCTCCGATGATTTAGAGATTTCTGCAGTTTATCGCTGAAGCTATGGTGTTTTGTACTTTGTGCAATGCTCGTAGGTGACCGGTGTCTCTGTGGAGTTGGACGAATCCACATCAGGCTAAAAAAAAAAAAAAAGTGAAATGTCGCCTTCCTTGTCTACTACTCGAGCACTTACAATAATTACTTTATTTTACAGGAAAGATGAAGCACGTCTACGCCATATTCGAGGGCAAGATGAGAGACATTATAACCAACTTCTAATGGTAACAATCGGTAGAAGTGCCCGGTGGTGGCTGCGATAGCAGAGAACCGAGCACACGTGGGTATGCCAAGGTGTCTGGTTGTGGCTACTGTAGCAGAGAACCGAGCACACTTGGGTATGCCAAGGTGCCTGGTTGTGGCTACTGTAGCAGAGAACCGAGCACACTTGGGTATGCCAAAGTGTCTGGTTGTGGCTACTGTAGCAGAGAACCGAGCACACGTGGGTATTCCAAGGTGTCTGATTGTGGCTACTGTAGCGGAGAACCGAGCACACGTGGGTATGCCAAGGTGACTGGTTGTGGCTACTGTAGCATAGAAACGAGCACACGGGGTATGCCAAGGTGCCTGGTTGTGGCTACTGTAGCAGAGAACTGAGCACACGTGGGTATGCCAAGGTGACCTGTGGTGGTTCATGTAGCAGAGAACCGAGCACACTTGGGTATGCCAAGGTGTCTGGTTGTGGCTACTGTAGCAGAGAACATAGCACACTTGGGTAATCCAAGGTGACCTGTGGTGGCTACTGTAGCGGAGAACCGAGCACACGTGCACGCCAAAGTGCTGTGTCTACTGTTGTAGCCTTTCCGTCTATTTAATAAATGTATCTTGCCTTTTCAATGGCCTATGCAGTTGCCACAAGATGACGTATCTCTGTATTACTGAAATTATACATTTCATTAAACCCCTCGATTTCATATTCAGGGTAGCCGGTCGTGAACCCAGAGCTTCACAATATAAATGCAAATATGAACCACTACTAGACTGTTCTTTTCTAATCTCTCACTAAATTGTATTCTTTGATAGCTTTCTACATTTACATGTGTTATATATATATATATATATATATATATATATATATATATATATATATATATATATATATGTGTGTGTGTGTGTGTATGCATGTGTGTGTGTGTGTGTAGATTGTACTTAGAGCTTCGAGCAAGGCAGGACACTTAATACGCCTTGGTCATCCACTGCACCAAGGTCCATTTCCAATGGTCTGGACACTGTCCTTCCATTAGATCAAAACGGACACAGTCGAGAAAGTGAGGTCGACGAATTGTGCCATCTTTTCCTCACTGAAATCCAAGTCCTTGCGCAAGTCACTTTCACCCAGCTACTTTGGATGAAAGTGGTCTTCATATTATGTGATGGACGAACAACAAGAGATTGTACTTCACTGATCGACAAACAACAACAGATTGTACTTCACTGATGGACAAACAACAACAGACTGTAGTTCACTGATGGACAAACAACAACAGATTTTACTTCACTGACACACGTTCAGAAAACAAAAAGATGCAAACAGGATATTTTGACAGCATAGCTAATTTTTAAAAAAATCGTTATATGTGCATGCTTTTGTATCAGCTGTTGTTAGGACGATAAGCAGACAAGTTGTAAAACTGGCATAATGCAGTTTTTGAAGGGAATATAAAAAAAATATCATGGTAAAATAGAAAAACAATAAAGATAGTCCTCCTCAAGATAGATGAAAAAGTAAACTGAAGCGATAGATGTAGATAGTCCACATGTTGAACATATTGTGAGAGAAAGAAAAGATCTGCGAATTCGGTGACAAGTAGCAAAACGGGCTGGAAAATAGTGAGGGTAAGGGAAAGAGATAAATACATAGACAAATGACAATATGCGCTACAAGAGCACTGACATGATCTGTGAGTTTAGTGATCGCATAAAAGACCATAACATGACTAACTACTGTTATCAGCAGAGTTTACGATGATGAGGATGATGACGACGATGACCATATCGCTTTATGCAGAGTGTGCGATCATAACTGACTGAACTGAGAAATACATGACTACTCAAATCTCATCTTTCAGACACACTAGTCAATGCTTAGGTCAGAGCGGGAACACAATACAGTCGGATGTGTATGTGATGTGTTTTATGTGATCTTACCGGAACATATATTTGTTCTACACATGATATTGTGAATGTTTTTTCGCACTGATTGGCTAATTGGTATAGTTGTGGGAAACCAAGTATATTTTTGTTATCACCATCGACGTCACTACACAGTAGGCATTCCCATCCTTGCTCATACCCCCACCCCTTTCTCTCTCCCCGGTCCGATTCAGCAGTCTGAATCACAAGGCAGCCATAAATACTGGGGTTATTTTGCGAAATCATGTAAAGGATATCACCATCATCATCACAATCATCATCATCATCATCATCGTCGTCATCAACATTTTTGTAACAAAAGGGTGCTAGCTCATTCCTCTACTTCGCTTTGTTCCTGCGCAAACTGTCAATATCAAGGATGGAATCCAGCGAAGCATCTTTGGCCTCTCTGATCAACGCTTGTCTTAGGATTTCTCTTAGACGTCCACGTTTCTTCAGTACGTTTACTTCTAATTTCACTACTTTTTTAGTGATTCATTATGGTGATGTACACAACAGTAGTAGGCTTCTTTTCAGTCCCGCAAGACTATACAGTTGTACGGCTGGGCTGGGCTCGATAGAAGAAAGACAATAAATCTGCATCTTTACGATGAGGCAGATCTGGTAACAATGCATGTTACACTTGTGCTTCTTCGTTGGATCAGTCTGATCAAAGAGTACCAGTCCATATAACAGATCTCTTCTCCAAGTAGATCGGTCTATTGAGACTCTCCTATGTTTCTGTACCTAAGATGTTGTAGATAATATGTATTCCACTTTTTCACTGTCAACTGTTGCCACAGGCTGCTAAAAAATGCACCCCCCCCCCCCACCCCCACACCCTCTTCTTTAAAAAAAAAACTGAGATTTGTTGTTCTGGTGATACACACATACATGCGCACACAAACACAGATCAGAAATTCATGGATGATTGATGACAATGAATGCATATATAATGAAAACACATCCCCCCATGATACCCATGTGACACTAAAGATGTTACAAGCTGACTAGTCAAAGGTAACAGATACTATAATTGAACTACTAGATCGATCTTTTTAACTGCCAATGTGATAAAGGCTTTTAGAGACAAGCTGTATAAACCAGCAGAACATACTTAATTTTTGTGCCTGAAGGGACTGGTTTGAACAGGAGCGATCAGCTATGTAGATGTTTTACCGGTTGTAGTGGGTACGACGTGCGGACTTTTAAGTAGCTTCAGCATGGTCTGCATGGACACTGTCTGTTAGTGACTGAAGATGAGGGCGAAACACATTGGGGAATGTCAGGAATCCAGTGATGTCATTCATTCAGTCACGTTTTGGCGGTGTCATAACAAAAACTGCAGTTGTAGCAACAACAAATGGGGCCAATAATAAGTCGCGGGAATAATAACCATTACTGCAGCTGATGTAATCAGAACTGATGCCACTACAACGATTGATGATACTAACAACTAGTATTACAACACCCACAACCGTTGATCACAATGACAAGAATAACAAAGCTTGTCAGAATAAAACCTTGTAAAACACAAGCAAGAACAAACGCAATAACTTTTAATTGCAAACAAACAGCAACAGCTGGTAACCAACAGTCGCAACATCTACAACAATGCATTTCCAATAAAAGTATAACAACATCAAAAGTAAAGGAAACACTGTATGGACAAATTGTCAAATGGTATAACAACAGTTGTAACAAGACCGTATTGATATAACAAAAAGCATGAACAAATAGGTCAAATGCAAACTAAATAAAGTCATGTACCCACTTGCAAATCACTGGTTGTACAGAGTATGTAATATTTACCATATATTTACAGCTCAGCTCCAATGAACTGTGTAGTGCAAAGAAGTATATGTCATATGTTTCTGTCGATATCCACAGACCTCATCAGAAGCATTCAGAAAATGAAGGAACAGTTGCACA